CTTTCTGCATCCAGATTGTCGCTACTTTCTTTCTTTCTTTTTTCTGCATCCATAGTGTCGCTTCTTTCTTTCTTTCTTTCTTTCTTTCTTTCTTTCTTTCTTTCTGCATCCATATTGTCGCTACTTTCTTTCTTTCTTTATTGTCGCTTCTTTCTTTCTTTCATTCTTTCTTTCTGCATCTATATTGTCACTACTTTCTTTCTTTCTTCATCCATATTGTCGCTAATTTCTTTCTTTCTTTATCCATATTGTCGCTACTTTCTTTCTTTATTCATCCATATTGTCGCTACTTTCTTTCTTTCTTCATCCATATTTTCGCTTCTTTCTTTCTTTCTTTCTGCATCCATATTGTCGCTTCTTTCTTTCTTTCTTTCTACATCCATATTGTCGCTTCTTTCTTCTTTCTTTCTTTCTTTCTTTCTTTCTACATCCTTGTTATCTTTTCAGTATTGTGTCCTTCTTTATCATCTCCACTTATTTTGCCATTAATTCTTGTCAGCTTCTCATTTATTCAGTCATTAATTTTATGTTTATTCCTTTCTACATCTATATTATATTTACTTTCTTTTATTTATTCGTTCGATAATTCAGCTACTTTTTTTCCAGGTCTTCAGATAAGACATTTAGTCACCTTGACACCATTTATGGTAAGAATCACTGAAAAAAATCTTTGAGTTATTCAGCTAGAAAGAGAACAGCTTAACATCCTTTTGTGCCAGCCCCACTGTCTTCCCAACTGAGCAATGGTGAGAGGAAAAAGTTCATTTAGATCTTGTGTAATTGTACCAACATTCATACTCTGGCGTATATATATGTGTTCAAAGTCCGTTCAAAAACCATCAAGAGAATGGTGAATAAATTTTAAAAAATTGTGAACAGTAGAGAGGAAAACTGGATCAGGATGTCACAACAGAAAGAGGGATCATCATTTCAACTAAATACATTCTTGTTGTTCAAAGTAGAGTCCAACAGTATTATAAAACCTCGGAATATTCCAGTAAGATATCTTTAATCATTTCTAAGATACAAAGTTTCAAAGTTTAATCTAACAAATGAACAATTGTGCTGTTACATGATTTGGACAATTTTGTTTTACATTTTTATTTCTCTCTCTCTCTCTCTCTCTCTCTATATATATATATATATATATATATATATATATATATATATATATATAGAGAGAGAGAGAGAGAGAGAAAGAGAGAGAGCGTACAGTTCAAAAGCTTGAGGCCACTCTTGGTAATTTCTTCTTTTAACCCAAAAGTCTTGATACCATTTGACGTCAGAATCACTAAAAAAAACCTTTGATTTATTCAGTGCGAATGAGAAGTGGTTAAAATTGTTTTGTGTCAGCCCAACTATCTTTCCAACTGTGCAATGATCAGTGGAAAAAGGAGATCATTCAGTCCTTCAGTAATGGTACCAACATTCATACTCTGGCTTTGATCTTCAATTCCATTCAAGTACTATCAAGAGAACGGTAAATAATTAAAAAAAAAGGGGGGGCAGCAGAGAAAAACACTGGATCAGGAGATTACAACATGAAGAGGGATCAACATTTCAACTCGGAGCTAAATACATTGTTATTGTTGAAAGTATATCCAATAGGGTTATAAAACCTGGGGGTATTCCAGTAAGTTATCTTTAATCATTTCTAAGTTTCAAAGCTTAATCTAACAAATGGACAATTTTGCTGTTACACCCGCTATGTCCAGAATCAGAAAGAGACAGCTAACATCTCTACAGCACATAACGAAGAAAGAGAACTTAGAAAATTTAACACTCACTGGAGATATCGAATTGAAAAAGGACAGCACTAAGTAGAGAACCATCTACTCGAGGAGCTTATCTAAATGGATGACAGAAACATGTCTGAATATTTGATTGATTGATTCATTTTTTTTACGGCTTATCAACCATTTGCAGGTTATTTAAAGCCAGAAAATATCTTTAGAATTTAGGGATTCTTTTTGAGATATTGATGGTTTCGTGATACAAATCTTATTATTTAACCCATAGCTGTGTGAGAAGTGAATCCATACCTTTCCCGCATGTATTTGCACATAGGTGAATATAACGAACCCAACAGAAACTGGAAGTCAGCCTTTTCATTAACAATTCCAACCCGTCATCCAAGCTTGCAGCACCTGCTATTTCCAAGCGGTCACCCATCTAGATAATGACCAGGACGACGTTGCTTAACTTCAGTGATTGTACAAGAACCGGCGTTTCAACATGTTGTGGTGGTAAGCACAGAAACAGACAGCTGAAATTACTGGAACACATAATGAGGAAAGACGGCTTGGAAAATTTGATACTGACTGGACATATCGAAGTTAAAAAAATGATAGCTGCCGATCTTATGTGAATGGAGGGGTAGAAAGGGGAGTGAGAGGAATGTTACTAAAAACTGCATAGGACAGGATGATTTGTAGAGCCATGATTACTCATACGCTGAAGTGATACTGCATTTAGAGGCACAACAGCATCAAGACGCTTAAGAAGAAGCTAACGTTTTGGGGCAAGTGGTTTTTAGTATTCGAGCCGAATTTAATGTACAGTGCTGTTCGATAAAAGTGACTCACCAAGATCTTTTTTTACTTAAAGATTTTTTCGCCTATTGTTTTTGGGGTCAAACTAATTTTTAATCTTACTAATATAAAGACCCTTCCCGACCACCTAGTAAAAAAGTTTACTCACCCTAAGGTATTCTATTGATAATTATAATTTTGGATATAAATGAGATTTAGGGAAAAAAGTGACTCACTTATTTCCTGCAACTAGTAATCAATAGAAACAGCTTTAAATAAAGAATAATAGAGGTATAATTTATTTATAATAGGTAATATAGTTCGAAATATTTAATAATCTATGGGTCCTCCTTTATTTTGAATAACCTTTTCAACCCTTTTGTCATTGACTTAATTAGGTTCTGGCAAATCTCATCTCCAAGCATTGAATTCCATTCGGATATAAAATTCACAATCAAATCCTCTTTATTGCTCAACTGCTTTCTCGAGAGCCTGTACGTTATAATGCTCCATAAGTTTTCTATGGGGTTGAGGTCAGGAGATTGGGGTGGCCATGTCATAACACTCACCTGCTTTTCATCAAACTATTCCTTCATCAATTTTGACTTTGTGACAGGGAGCATTATCCTGCATAAAAATCAGCTTGGTGGGGTCGATTTGCACCCTTTCAGCAGAAGGGAGCAGACAAGATTCTAAAATTCTCTTGTACTGCTCGCTCCTGAGGGTCTTTTCAATAGGTTTTAAGAAACCAGTTCCGTGAAAAGAAAAGCATCCACAGAACAATATACTGAACGGATGCTTGACAGTACTTACTGCTAAATTCAAAGAGCTTTCAAAGCTTCTTCTTCGGATTTTAGATCGCTTATCCTTTGAATTTAGCTCAACTTTCGTTTCATCGAAGAAGAGAACATTTAGTAAAAAAAGTCAGGTGAGTTATTGAACAGTACTGTATGTCATGGAAAATTACTGCGAAAGAAAAGCGTTGTTTGACTGTCAGTAATTGCAAGAAGCACACTAACGCTGTGATGAAAGGGATTGTTTGTAAGATTGTTTGTCAAAGAAAGGAATAAATGTGTACAGTAAGCGCTTCTTCAGTTATATTTACCCCAAACAAGGTGATAATGACGCTAAGACGCAAGGCGCTATTTGGTGTGAAAGGGAATGAACAGACGTTAGAAGAAATCGTACACCGAATCTTAAACTGGGAACAAGAGATAAACCTCGATTCTTGTTCAAAAGACTGGGGAAGAGTGTGAACCGGACGATAGGTGAATATATCCACTATTGAGGAGAAAGAAAAAAATTTCAGTTAATATAATTTCAGATTTCAGGCGGAAATGATAGAAGTGTAGTGTTGAACTATACATTAAACAAAACCGGAAACACAGCCCTAAACCGGAAACAATGGATAAACCTCTTCTTTTTTGGACGGAATCAGGGACAGCCCGTGCGAAAAAAAAAAAAAAAAATGGAAAAAGAAGTTATTAATTCCGAGGTACACCATTTTCAGACGTCTTACCAGTCGATGGACGCCATATTTATTCAGTGTATATCTTTTGGGGAATTACCATTGGCCTTTACTTGGACACGCCTACGATAGAACAGATGGCGAATATCATCTTGTGATATATTCCTTTACGATTCTGATACCTGTTGAGGTAATAGCTGGGGGTGGATAAACATCGCCACGTCATTTTCTCTACATGTTCATTGGGAGGTAGAAAGAGAGAGAGAGAGAGGAGAGAGAGAGAGAGAGAAGAGTCATGGTGATTGTATCGTCGATAATTTCGGAGAACAAACAGTATAGTGACCTTTTTATTTACAGTTATGTTTAACCTAAACGAGAGCCACTCAAGGTAGAGCGTTACAATGTAAATGGTAAGGAGCACAGATTAAGAGTTTATGCGGGGAAATAATGGTTATCCTTTAACCTGAACTTATTAAGATTGTGTTGATCATACGAGTCGGTTCCATAAAGCAGTGCTTAGTGATAGGAAGCTATTTACATACCAATGGAATACGAAGGTGGTTGGCTACAATATGTGTGGAACGGCGGGTCCTAGTCGTGAACGTTAGAACTGGTGGAAATAAGAAGTGTAGTTCATCTTAAGACTTTCCATATTGTTGTGATTAAGTAAATAGTTAAAGAAATAACAAAAAAGTTTTCAGATATATCAAATATTGACACTAAGTACAACAGAAGAGTATTACATGATATGAGTGTGTGCTGGTTGACCCAGCGTACAATCTATTCGACTGTTCCCCGAAGGCCTTCTCTACTACTAATCTTATAGTAGGCGGAAGAGTCCAACATAGACTCTATACAGAGAGTGGACACCACAACACTATCTATCTATCTATCTATCTATCTATCTATCTCTTTCTGTCTCTATCTGTCCATATCTATCTATCTATCTAGCTAGCTAGCTAGCTAGCTAGCTAGCTAGCTCTGATTCTATATATCTACCTATGCTAACTCTGATTCTATCTATCTATCTATCTATCTATCTATCTATCTATCTCTCCTCATATCTATCTATCTATCTATCTATCTATTTATCTGTTGTGATCAAGTAAATGGTTAAAGAAATGACAAAAACAGTGCTGCAGATATATCATATATTAAACAGTAAGTACAAAAATAAAGTCTTACACGACCAGTGAGTGTATGTCGGTTGACCCAGTGTTCAATCTATTCTACTGTTCCCTGAAGACCTTCTCTCCTACTAATCTTATAGTAGGCGGAAGAGTCCAGCATAGACACTTTACAGAGAGTGGACACCACAACATCTATCTATCTATCTATCTATCAATCTATCTATCTATCTATCTCAATCTCTTCATACCTATCAGTTTGTTCATATCTATCTATCTATCTATCTATCTATCTATCTATCTATCTATCTATCTATCTGTTGTGACGAAGTAAATGATTAAAGAAATAACAAAACAAGTGTTGCAGATTTATCATATACAACAGAGTAAATACAACAGAAGATTAGTACACGACTAGTGAGTGTGTGTCGGTTGACCCAGCGTTCAATCTATTCGACTGTTATATTTACTAGCCTTCCCACGAGGTAAGATGTGGCACAATGATGAGTTTAATGTGGGGCAATCTGAGCCCGTAGGCTCGGCCAAAATTTCCCCATAGACCCGGTATAAAATGGGGTCGGATAGCTGTTTCCCGAGATGCGACTCTGCTCTTCGAGAGTTTGACCAGCACAGTTCGAATAGATCTATTCGACAGTTAATATTTAACAACTCCCCCACCCACGAAGGATGTATGTGGCACAAGACCGAGTTTACTGTTAGTTCTCCGGGCTCGTAGGCTTCTCTTAGAACCCATATAAACGGGTTCAGGGTCTAAGGGACGAAACTTTTCCCTTCGGCAAAGACTCGTTCGGGTTCAAGGCAGAGAGTTCGACAGATGAACAATCTGGTGAACTGTTATAATTAAAAGCAACCCACCCCCCACTATGGATGTATGTGGCACAAGGCAGAGTTTACCGTGGGTTCTCCGTGCTCGTAGGCTCGGCCCAAAATATTTCCTTGGAACCCGCATAAACGGGTTCAGGGCCTGTCTACCTCCCTGGACCAAACATTGCCCTTCGGCAAAGCCTCCTCCGAGTTCCTCTCCACTCAAGGCAGAAAGTTCGACAGATAAACAATCTGGTCGACTGTTAATAATTAACAGCCCCACTGCGAGGGATGTATGTGACATAAGGCCGAGTTCTCCGAGCCCGTAGGATCGGCCTAAAATATTCCCTTAGAACCCGTATAAACGGATTCAGGTTCTGTTTACTTCCTCGGGCGAAACTTTGCACTTCGGCAAAGCCTCGTCCGGGTTCCTCTCCGCTCAAGGCTGAGAGTTCGACAGATGAATACTCTGGCCGACTGTTCCCCCAAGGCCTTCTCTCCTACTAATCTTATAGTAGGCGGAAGAGTCCAACATAGACTCTTTAGAGGGAGGACTCCACAACACATATAGATAGCGATAGAACAGCGAGGGACATGCAACGTTTCATCTGTGAGAAAGGGATTGTAAGGTGTAAAATAATTCACCATCCAAAAGGATGCGTAGGCGCTTTTGGAATCTATCGAGACTGGGCAGCAGCTGTTCAATTTGTGGCGGCAATACTCTATTTTTCGGCTTGACCTGGCCTCTTGTAAAGGTAGAAGATAACAGAAGGGGCCAGCTTCTATCTAGAGCGGCACAACGAACAGCTCATGTTTTAGGTATCGTTTGCAATGTTTCGTATGCACAATTTCCACATGAGCTTTGGCTTCTACTTAAACCTAATAGGCGTTCTAGGCACGCGACAACCCTGAGACAATATCCGTTCATCGAGGCAAAAATTCAGGGTTCTCTGGTCACTAGTTTGGGTTTTGCAGCATTGAATGTTACCAGACTAGGTCAAAGGACAGCTGAGCAGCAGGCTCTGGTCAGCTAGTTTTGGAGGTGTACCTGTATAACATGATAACATCAGCATGGATATCTACAGATATCATAGTTATCTAAAATCGACGTATACTCTTAGGCAGATCATTAATGCAAAGTAGAAAGAGAGAAGGACGTTGGGAGGTGCTGGTGTTAATTGAGGGCTGTCATTTAACAACTAGCTTATTGCAGGAATAGCAGCAGTGCAGTTTGAAAAATATCCTGCATTTTCATAAGGTTATTTCAAATAATCTTCTTCTTTGAAGCATTCTTCTTCGCATTCTCCTTCTCCTCCTCCTCTTTATTCTCCTTATCATCATCTTCCTCTTCCTCCTCCTCCTCCTCCTCCTTCTTCTTTTTCTTCTTCTTCTTCGCATTCTTCTTTGGATTCTTCTTCGCTTTCTTAGCATTCATCATCACCTACCCCCTCCATTTATACATCCTTCTTCGGATTCTTCTTCTTCTTCTCCTCCTCCTCTTTCTTCTTCTTCTCCTCCTCCTCTTTCTTCTTCTTCTCCTCCTTCTCTTCCTCCTTCTTTTTCTTCTTCTTCCTTCTCTTCTTCCTCCTCCTCATCTCACTTCTTCTTCTTCTTCTTCTAAGCATTCTTCGGATTCTTCTTCGTTTTCTTAACATTCTTTTTCACCTCGTCCTCCTTCTTCTTTAAAACATTCTTCTTCAGATTCTTCTTCTCTTCCTCCTCCTCTTTCTTTTTCTTCTTCTCCTCCTCCTATTCCTTCTCCTCTTCCTCCTCCTCCTCCTCCTCCTTTTCTTCTTCTTCTTCTTCTTCTAAGCATTCTTCGGATTCTTCTTCGTTTTCTTAACATTCTTTTTCACCTCGTCCTCCTTCTTCATTTAAACATTCTTCTTCAGATTCTTCTTCTCTTCCTCCTCCTCTTTCTTTTCTTCTTCTTCTCCTCCTTCCCTCCCCTTCCTCCTTCCCCTTCTTCCTCTTTCTTCTTCTTCTTCTTCTTCCATTCTTCTTCGTTTTCTTCTTAACATTCTTTTTTCACCTCGTCCTCCTTCTTCCTTTAAACATTTCTTCTTCAGATTCTTCTTCTCTTCCTCCTCCTCTTTCTTTTTCTTCTTCTTCTTCCTCTTCATTCTCCTCTTCCTTCTCCTCTTCCTTTCCTCCTTCTTCTTCTTCTTCTAACATTCTTCAGATTTTCTTCGTTTTCTTAACATTCTTTTCACCTCCCTCCTTCTTCATTTAAAAACATTCTTCTTCAGATTCTTCTTCTCTCCTCCTCCTCTTTTTTTCTTCTTCTCCTCCTCCTATTCTTTCTCCTTCTCCTCCTCCTCCTCCTTCTTCTTCTTCTTCTTCTTCTAAGCATTCTTCTAAGCATTCTTCTTCACTGTCGCATTCTTCTACTCCTCCTTCACCTTCTTTTTTAAACATTCTTCTTCGGAATCATCTTCGCGTTCTTCTCTTCCTCCTCCTCCTCCTCCTTCTTCTTCTATTATTGTCTTTTTCGTTTTCTTCCTCTTCTTGTTCTTCTTTTTTGTATCCTTCTTCGGATTCTTATTTTTTTTCTTCATCTCATTCTTTATATCATTCGGATACTTCTACACACTCCTATTTCTTCAGATTCTTCGTAGCATTTTTCTTCTTCACATTATTTTACTCCTCCTCCTCCTTTTTCGTATTCTTCTTTTTCATCTTTTTCGTATTCTTCCTCTTTTTGTTTATTGCATTCTTCGGATTCTTCTACTATAATATTCCGAATATAAATAGTGTAAATAATGATAACTCCTCGTCTTAGAAATTCTGAAAGACGCTGTTATGTTTCTTAATAATTTGCTTCAGTTTTGGAAGGCATCTTTTCCCTATGCCTGTTTAGAAAAAGCATGAAAGATATTTGATTTATACTACCTCACACCATGATACAAGGCGTTGTCCTGCATACCGAGAGGGAAAATATCCTGAAAGATGACATTCTTTAGAATTACGTTGCACCCGTAAACGACCATCACGTGCGTGTGCAGACATGCTATAGTCATTGAAAACACCAGAACACCATTCTCGCTAAAAAAAAGTAAAAAAAAAAATACCCCAAAAACTGAACACTTGTGTAAGGACGTTGTGCCTTCAATAGAAACCTGGCAAGATACACGATTGCCCATCATCGTAATACAAATAAACGATTCTGAAAGGCTCATTCAGCTTGACACACGACTCTAATGAAAAAAGTGCACTTGTGCATTTCCGTAAAAAAGAGATATATTCACGTTAGGCTCTTTTACCATAACCATATCGCAGCGGCTTTCACAGTGCAAATTAGAAACACAAACAGAGTATGAAGATTTTATTTTATTTAAGTTGAACGTTCAGTATCAAGGAGAAATTCGGCATGAATTTCCATCAGAGTATACATTAACACACACACAACCACACACACACACACACACACACATATATATATATATATATATATATTATATTAAATTCGACTCTCACGTCGAATTCGACGTATGAGGGTCAATATCTCAATATATATATGTATATATATGCATTGTTTCTATATCTATATACCGGTTATAACAACAAAATTGTACAAATCATGTATCAGCAATTTTTTTCAAATTTTAGATAAGGATTTGAACTGTTGTATCTTAGAAATGATTAAAGATACCTTACTGGAAATCTATGTGGTTTTAACATTATTGATACATACTTTGAACAATAAGGATGTCTAATTACTCTCCAAGCTTAACAGAAGAATAGTGATGAAATCGATCATAAACGAAAATAAAACGTTCATCATTAATCATAGCTAAGAACCGGATGCTCATGATGTATTGAAAAAAGTAAATATTCAAATATATATATATATATATATATATATATATATATATATATAAATGTATTATTTCCACAATCATTTTAAAGCATATTCAAGATGATCTTCGACCTCTGTAACCTTTTAACTTTTTGTGCTGGAGTACCAAGTATGATTTCATTTTCAAGATTTTTTTTCACTTGTCTTTGAATTGTCAAAGCTGAAGCTCTTCTCTGGGGTGCCAAGCATCTTAAGGATTGAGTTAGATCTTTTCTAATTGATTTCTTTAGCACTAAATTGAAATGATGATCTCTCTTCCTGTTGTGACCTCCTGATCCAGTTTTCCTCTCTACTGTTCCCTCTTTTTCCAACTTATTCACCGTTTTCGGGATGATCGCAGCCATAGTATGAATGTTGGTAACATCACTGAACGACTGAATGATGGTTTTTTCCTCACACCATTGCTCAGTTGGGAAGACAGTGAGGCTGATACAAAACGATTTTAACCTGTTCTCTTTACAGCTGAATAGCTCGAAGGCTTTTACAGTGAATCTTACGATAAATGCTACCAAGATGGCTAAACGTCATATCTGAAAACCAGACAAAAAGAATTTCAGATTTGAAGAATTACTCTTGGTATCTAATTTCCTCCTCCTTTTCTCCCCACTCGCACACTTTCACTCTTCTTGCTTTTCGCCATTCGTCCCATTAAATTTCCCACCAACGCAAAAACTGCATAAATGAAGCGATGGAATTGACCTTTTCACTGCCCGAGGAAGGCTTTATTGGTAGAAACCGCAGTAAAAGAAAATGTTATTGTTTTACAGTATTTTATATCTCTATACTTTCGGTTTGATACTTTTTAAATATAAACGTTTCTCCGGGCATGGCAAACATTGAATGTAAAAACAGTTTATTATATATATATATATATATATATATATAAAAATATATTATTTAAATATTCATTATATATATATATATATGTATGTGTGTGTATATATATATATATATATATATATAAATAAATATGTTTGAAACAGTACAAAAAGCGTATTAAGGCATTAAAAACAAGAAATTTTATATTATAGCCCATGATTAGGATTAAAACAAACACACACCAGTCGACTGGTGTGTGTTTTTTACATCTATCATGTTTAACATAAAAATTCATGCCTATATATATACATATTCTATATATATATATATATATATATATATATATATATATATATATATGGCATTTCCATATCACATGACGTCCGCATCTCGACGGACGTTACTTTGTAAACAAACAGCAAAAACAGTTATTTCTGAAGAAAGATCGAGGTCGATCTGAATATCAAAACTCCATATATTTATAAATAATTATGAAAATAAAATTAATACTTTCATAAAAACATTATTATTTTTTTTTGCAACTTTTTTAGTAAACTATATATATATATATATATATATATATATATATATATAAAATTAACGATTTAAAATATGTTTTTTTTCGCTACACAGTAATAACTATGTTTCGAAAATAGAAGCTAAAAACTTTAAATTTAATTTTGTAATTAAATTAAGTTTAATTTAAATTTAATTAAACTATATTTTAAATCAACTAATTTATAATATTATGTTCTGTAAATTTTCACTGAGTACTATTTTGTAAAAATAAAAATATCAATAGGAATACCGGATTACATATCTTACTGTTTTTATTTATATATATATATATATATATATATATATATATATATATATTCATCTGAATCAATTGGTCTGTTGTCAAAACTTTTTCCATAGATATCCATCATATATATATATATATATATATATATATATATATATATATATATATATATATATACTGAAAGGTTATAAATCTTCTGTCCATCGGCCGTCGGGTCCACCTTTCCATAAGTTTCTTTTCCCTTTCTCTCTCTTTCCAACTCTCTCTATTCCACCTCTCTCTTTCCATTCTCTTTTTTCCCCTTTCTCTTTCCCCTCTCTCTTTCCACCTCTTTTTCCACTTTCTCTTTCGACCTCTCTCTTTCTTTCCACCTTTCTCTTTTTTGGGGGAGACTTTCACCTCTCTCTTTTCCACCTCTCTTTTTCCACTTTCTCTTTCGACCTCTTCTTTCTTTCCACCTTTCTCTTTCCCCCTCTCCTTTCTCCTCTCTTTCCACCTCTCTTTTTCCACTTTCTCTTTCGACCTCTCTCTTTCTTTCCACCTTTCTCTTTTTCACCCTCTCACTTTCACCTCTCTCTTTCCACCTCTCTTTTTCCACTTTCTCTTTCGACCTCTCTCTTTCTTTCCACCTTTCTCTTTTTCCCCCTCTCACTTTCACCTCTCTCTTTCCACCTCTCTTTTTCCACTTTCTCTTTCGACCTCTCTCTTTCTTTCCACCTTTCTCTTTTTCCCCCTCTCACTTTCACCTCTCTCTTTCCACCTCTCTTTTTCCACTTTCTCTTTCGACCTCTCTCTTTCTTTCCACCTTTCTCTTTTCCCCTCTCCTTTCACCTCTCTTTCCACCTCTCTTTTCCACTTTCTCTTTCTCTTTCTCTTTTCTTTTCCACCTTTCTCTTTTACCCCCTCTCACTTTCACCTCTCTTTCCACCTCTCTTTTTCCACTTTCTCTTTCGACCTCTCTTTCTTTCCACCTTTCTCTTTTACCCCCTCTCACTTTCACCTCTCTCTTTCCACCTCTCTTTTTCCACTTTCTCTTTCGACCTCTCTCTTTCTTTCCACCTTTCTCTTTTCCCCCTCTCACTTTCACCTCTCTCTTCCACCCTCTCTTTTCCACTTTCTCTTTCTCTCCTCTCTCTCTTTCCACCTTTCTCTTTTTTCCCTCTCACTTTCCACCTCTCTCTTTCCACCTTTCTTTTTTACCCCCCTCTCCCTTTCTTTTCCACCTCTCTTTTCACTTTCTTTCCACCTTTCTCTTTTCCCTCTCTTTTTCCCCTCTCTCTTTCCACGTCTCTTTTTCCTCTCTTTTCCATTTTCTCTTTCGACCTCTCTCTTTCCACCTTTTTTTTTTCCACCTTTCTCTTTTTCCCCCTCTTTCCACTTTCTTTTTGACCTCTCTCTTTCCACCTTTCTTTTTCCACTTTCTCTTTTTCCACCTCTCTTTTCTTTCCACCTCTCTTTTCCCCCCTCCACTTTCCTCTTTTTCCCCTCTCTTTTCCACTTTCTCTTTCGACCTCTCTCTTTCCACCTTTCTTTTTTCCCCCTCTCACTTTCACCTCTCTCTTTCCACCTCTCTTTTTCCACTTTCTCTTTCGACCTCTCTCTTTCTTTCCACCTTTCTCTTTTTCCCCCTCTCACTTTCACCTCTCTCTTTCCACCTCTCTCTCTCCACCTTTCTCTCTTTACACCTCTCTCTTTACACCTCCGCCTTTACACCTCTCCGTGATTGCGTGCATGCTTATTTATATTTCATCTTTTTTTAAACAAACTATATTTTAAAATTTAAAAAAAAAATTTTTTTTGACATATTTAAAAAAAATATTTTCAATTTAATCTGATTAAAAAAATATTTTAAGTGAATCAGATTTGAAAATTCTTGTTGTTTCTACGATTTTTTGTATATAGAATTTTATGGTTGTTAATTTTTATATCATGGGATGTTTTTGTAAGTCCCCGGAGAGTTTGCGGTATTGTGGTATATAGAGGATTGAATGATAGATAAGTTCCTTTGGTGATTGTGCAAATTGTAATGAGGGAATGGGTCGTGAATCTGATTATCTAGGCATGATAGTAAGCGATGACCAGCCTCAGTCCATTCCCACTATTTTTGACCTTGTGTCACTATTGTATTTTTGTGACACAAGGCCAAAATTTTTGATATATACATATATATATATATATATATATATATATATATATATATATATATATATATATATATATAATTATATGCAACATCTTGGCAACAATAAAAAAATGTTCTTATATATTTGATGATAATTTTATGTTTTTTATTCTTTTTTTAATCATTGATTGGTACTAGTCCACGGCCTAAATCCAACTCTCACACATGTCTCGAAGAAGTCGCATAGGCACAGCGATGGGTACTGCCACACCCCAGTCGACGATATCGACTTGCCGGCGAAACTGTAGAGTAGTCGGAAGATTTTTCCGACCCGACTAGTGAAAGTTATTACCTCCCTCCAACCCACTGCTACTGCCTCTCATGTTTTGTCTGCTGTTTTTAAAACTATTTTTTGGAGTATATTACGTTATCTGAGTTTTATATGTTTGCGTTTTTGATATAGTCCCCTCCTAGCGGTTATGTTATGTCTTGGTTCGGCTACTCGTCGTGACGTCATTAGAATTCTCCCCGATTAACTGCAACGGACTTCTAATGACATCAGACAAAGTAACCTAACCAAAACATAACATTAGAACAATTGGAGTCGTGACGAGGAATCGAAACTCATACGAAATAGGAAAAAAATAGAAATTTTTGCTTCGTTGCACATGATAAAGCATTAACGATGAGAAATTAGAACCACATTGTTTTAATTTTTTTCTCTTGTGGTGTAGAAGGAAAAGGCCCATATTTTCTTAAAATATGGGAAAATTATTACCTCAAGTGAAAACCATATATATATATATATATATATATATATATATATATATATATATCTTTAAATATTAAAATATCTTTCTTATATATATATATACTATATTTTTATTATAAAATTTTAATAAAAACATTTTGAATTCGCTACACAAAAGTTTTCATGTTTCAATACTATGTGGTTCTTCAAGTAAGTAACTAGTGATTAAATGATTTTAAGGAAATTTAAAAACAAATTGTGACACGGTTAGGACAAGAGGTCATAATTAGAAATAAACTTGTGGGTATGTCTTGATTAACCAATTAAATGTCATAACTACGCTAAACAGAAACGTAAGCTCAGATGATAAAGGTGAGTGAGTTATTATTTCATGTCACGATTAACCGAAACATAGACATGTCATCATTGACGACTGCGGAAAATATACCGGCGATGAACTTTCACTCATTAGGTTATATATATATATATATATATATATATATATATATATATATATATACTCTTATGGAACTATTTATTTACATCCCCCTCCTTCAATTTTAATTTATATAATTAAAATTTGTCTTTTAGTCGACTTTCCCTCCTCCTTCACTTCATTAAGTTGTATTCATTTATATTTAATATTGCCAACGAATATCTTTGAAAAAGCGTTGTCCGTAAGGTGCCTTGATATGACGTCCACTATATATATATATATATATATATATATATATATATATATATATATATATATATATATATAGGTTGCGATGGGAAATAATTCGCCATTTTATATTTTTAATTTCGCGCATGCGCGTTGTTGATTTTTTCGACTGCAGGCTATAGTGGTGTCAGTTGGCCACCGTCTATGAGAAAAAAGAGAACCATGATGCAATTCACTCTTCTAGAGATTTGGAAACGGCATACTGAGCTGCTTGGCATTCACGCCGTAAATTTTAATTCGGTCATTTCACAATGTTTAGGTCTTAATCTGGGGAGAGTGCAGGGGATTCGGAAAGACTTGGATCAGTTTAATGGTGATTACGATGCTGTTTAGAGTGATCACTTGTTATGGCAACGTTATGTCGCCATTCATCTTTCCACTGGGCCCTGGGGAGATAGTGCTGCTCTGGTTCAAGAGGGTGGCCGTTGGAAGACCCTATGTCTTGCAACAGGACTTTGAACCATGCCACACCAGCGGGAGAACCCAGTTATGATTGTCAGACAATTTCTGCGACCACATCACCACTTACATCTGGCCACCTAACCCATTGATTATTATGTATAGGGCGCAGTTGAGTGAGAGACAGAAAAAAACTTCTTGTAACATTATTGATGAACTGAAAAAAAAATTATGTAGAATTTACCAACTTAAACCTAGAGTCTGTTTACATTATTCGGACTATTGTCCTCATCTTTGTCGCCATATTTATCACGACTTTTCGGCTCCGGCCTTCTTCAGGTAGTTGGAATGTTGACCTGAACCCTTTATTTCGCTCACTGGGGGTAGACTGTTCTAGTTCCACGTTTAATGATGTCAATTATCAGTTATCTGCCGTTAATTCCCCTCTGTAAGTTCTCTTAACCGGGTATTGAACTCACACTCTTTGGGAGCTGTTACTGGATCTAACCAACGCCTTTATCCACTGTGCCATGTGTCCTTGAGGACATCTGTGTATGAATTTCTGGGTATTATAAACCTAATGTCATCAGCAACCGTTTTTACCAGAGCTCATACTTAAACATAGAGACTGTCCAGAAGAGTTGCAGGAGATTCCGAAGACGTCTGGAAACCTTGGTTATAGCCAATGGAGATTTTATTGAATAAATTAACTTTTTCGTATTTCAATATATGTTTGTGCAATTTTGATAAATATATCTCTTAAAATGAGATATCAATGTTATTTTCATTTTTGCCTTATTTAGATGACAATTTATCCATCGCAACCTGTATGCAAAATGTAAAAAAAAAAATGAAAAAAAAAAGTCTCTCAAACTATAGAAACTGCATGTGACTGTGTGATCTAGATATTTCTGTCTCAAAGGTTGATGCAATTGAAAAAATAAACTTCGAAGCAGTTGAAAACAGATTCCTGGAGATTTTCAGCTGTACAAATCAATTGCCACAGTTGCAGACATTTCTCAACTTTTTAAGAATGCATAGGATTTCTTCAACTCGCTTCAGCTGCCCAGCGTTCATTACAAAAATGTTAACACGCCCATTATGTCTCTTTAGAAATCTCGAACGTTCAAAGTCTTGTGATCAAGTCAAATATCCTGACTCGAAGAAGACTTGTTTATTCATTCCTTTATTTCTAACTTGACGTTGTCCGGATTATTAGTAAGTCATAAGGACATCTTGGTTATGTTGGGGTTGTAATCTATAAAATTTGAAGGTCATATCTGATTTACTCATTATATATTAAATATAGCCCATTTTTAATTGCCAAATATTTTTTAATTTCTATATCGTATTTACATGCAAAAATGTTAAATTTTAAATTCTATAAGTAATTTTAAATTGTTTAATATATTATACAGATAAGTGGCGCTTTTGTTTATCAAGTGACAATAACTGCAATTTATTTCTCTAATATTATCCGTGAAAAAAAATTAACGGTCATATTTGACGATTTATTTATTTTTTAGAAAAAACATAAATTGTTATGCTAACATGACACTTGCTCGATTCTCAATTTTATTTATTTTCCTTTTATATCTGTAAAACTGCTAAAATTGATTGACTTATTTAAACTCTGAACCATACCTGTCCACTTTGCCTCAGCTCAGAATGCTGTCTATATGATTTTAAATGTGAAACACTAAAATTGTGCAAGTTCTACCTACAGATGTTACAGGAGAGAAAAAAAAAGTTGTACTGCTATCCCATTAAACCTAATGTTGATGAACAGATGAAAAGTAAAGTTTGAATTTTGTATTGAAGAGGAGTTTGTGTTTTCCTTGTTTAAAATTCTTGTAATTGATTACTATACAATAGGAATCTCTACTTTTTCACTGGAAAAAAAAAGAAAGCATAGCATGATGAAAAACGCCCATTATGGCTCTTTAGAAATCTCGAACGTTCAAAGTCTTGTGATCAAGTCAAATATCCCGGCTTGAAGAAGACTTGTTTATTCATTCCTTTATTTCTAACTAACTTGACATTGTCCGGATTATTAGTAAGTCATAAGGGCATCTTGGTTATGTTGGGGTTGGATCCCTAAATATCTTTTTCATATTAACTCCCAATAGGAGAAGTACTTATGGTGCGTACCCAGAAGCCATGTCAACCCAACGGAGAACTTTATTTGTTTAGGCCATCAGAATATTTTTCCATTACTGGTTATATAAACACTTCTTTTTATTTGCGTTGTACAGGAAGAAATGTGCTAAAGAATATATTTGCCATGTTGTTGATTAAAGTAATTTCCCTGGGAAATAAGGGATATCCTTATTAGTATCTATCTATCTATCTATCTATCTATCTATCTATCTATCTATCTAATTTCAGTCATTTCATTATCTGTCAGTTTTATCTATCTATCTATCTATCTATCTATCTATCTATCTATCTATCTATCTATCTATATATCTATGTCAGTCATTTCATTACTAATGGAAGTTTTAATTATCTATCTATCTATCTATCTATCTATCTCAGTCATTTCATTATATATGTCAGTTTTATCTATCGATCGATCGATCTACCTCAGTCTTTTCATTATCTATCTATCTATCTATCTATCTATCTATCTATCTATCTATCTATCTATATATATATATATATATTCGTTATCCTTCTATCCATCTAACTTTTCGTTATCCATCTATATATCTAACTCAGTCGAATATAACAAAAAAATGAAAAAAAGTAGCAAACTTGTTATTCCTCTTTGCTGCTCAGAACCAATCGAAGACAAAAACGGATGTTTGACAATGTGTTAAAATAGGGGACAAAAATTTCTACTGGGAAATCAACAGTACCAATCACAGACAGACTACATTAGGAATTAGTAGGCATTCCTTTATACTACAAGAAAATGTTCATATGTTTTTGTCCTCGATTGGCGCTGAAGAGCAAGGAGCGATAACCGCATAGTTGTTTTTTTTTGTTTTTGTTTTTTGCTATTTATTCTTTTCATGTATTTTTGTTTTATCCATCTTTAATGGCGACGAAATATTTGTCTATCTGGGACTACATTCTCACAGACCAAACGATGTAAACCTTTCGCCATTTTCATGGTGAGAGTTCAGACGAATTATACTTCTTAGTTCCACCAGATCAAACCTTCAAAGCTTGGACCCACCAAGGCACACAGATTGAAACGAACAACCCACATTCCCTTCATACTCCCCTGGTGAGATGTAAGCTCCACGCAAGCCGCTTCTCACGGACCTGCTACCGTAAGTAACCGACTCCTCACCTGTGGCTTTCCCAATCACTACAATCTTAACCTGCTCAAGTCTAGGGTTAATTGTTATCTTTCCCACATATCTGCAGAAACTGTGCCACTTTCTCTATAACTCTCTTTTCACTGTTCCATCGCTATTTTCACGAAAAGTAATCATACCTACGACATTCCTTAGTTTCACGAGTTCTAAGCTTCATGCCTAAGACTCGCCATGCTATGCAAATTGTAGCGGACCACACTTATTCACTTCGTATTCCATTGGTGAGCAGTTTCTCTCCGTAAACCGCTGCTCTCTGGAACCGTCTACGAAGAGGATGTTTTCCCGATCACTACAATTTAGGCCTGTTCAAATTCTAGGGTTAACCGTTGTCCTTCCCACATATTCGCATAAACTCTGCCTCTTATTCTGTAACCTTTTACTTACATTGCTAGCTTCTCGCTGCTCTGTCACTATTTCCACGAAAAGTCGTCAGACGTGCGACATTTCTTAGTTTCACCCGTTCTAAGCTTCACGGTTTGGACCAACAATACCACGCCGATTGTAGCAAACTACCTATATACTTTTCCTATTCTATTAGTGAGATTTTTTTCTTTCAGTGATCTTACACCGAGCAAGGCGATAATGCCACTAAGACGCAAGCAGCTACTGGAAGTGAAAGAGAACGAAAAGACTTTAGAAGGAACCGGAAACACAATTCTAAACAGGAATCTAGGGATAAACCCCTACTCCTGTTCAAACGACCGAGAAGGAATGTGAATCGAACGTTTGAGTGACTAGACCCTTTTCCCGCAGACGTAGCAACTTTGGCCCCACATCACTTTCCCACATGTTTGCAGAAACTGTGCCTCTTTCTCTATAACTCTCTTTTCGCTGCTCCATCGCTATTTTCACGAAAAGTAATCATACGTACGGCATTCCGTAGTTTAACCAGTTCTAAGGTTCATGCCTAAGACCCGCCATGCTATGCAAATTGTAGCGGGCCCCACTTAGTCCGTTCGTATTCTATTGGTGAGATATAAGTTCCACTCGAGCAGTTGCTTCCCGTAAACCGTTGCTCTGTAGAACCGACTACCAAAAGGATGTTTCCCCGATCACTACCATCTTGACCTGTTCAAATCTAGGATTATCCGTTATTTTTCTCACATAATAACATAATCTGTGCCTCTTAATCTGTAGCCCTCTACTTACATTGCCAGTTTCTCGCTGTTATATCGCTATTTCAACGAAAAGTTATCAGACGTACGACATTCCTTAATTTCACCAGTTCTAAGGTTCATGCCTAAGACCCGCCATGCTATGCACATTGTAGCGGACCACACTTATCCACTTCGTATTCCATTGGTGAGATGTAAGCTTCTTCCTGTGAACTGCTACTCTGTGGAACCAACTACCAAGAGGATGTTTTCCCGGTCACGACAATGTTGGCCTGTTCAAGTCTAGGATTAACCGTTATCTTTCCCACATATTCGCATAAACCCTGCCTCTTACTCTATAACCCTCGACTCATATTGACAGTTTCTCGTTGCTCTATCGATATTTCCCCGAAAAGTGATCAAACGTACGACATTCCTTAGTTTCACCAGTTGTAAGCTCCACGCCTAAAACAGGCCATGCCATGCATATTGCAGCGGACCAACTTCATTCCCTTCCTATTCCATTGGTGAGACGTAAGTTCCACTCGAGCAGCTTTTTTCCGGTAAACTGCTGCTCTGTGGAACCAACTACCAAGAAGATGTTTCCCCGATCACTACCATCTTGGCCTGTTCAAGTCTAGGATTAACCGTTATCTTTCCCACATAATAGCATAATCTGTGCCCCTTACTCTGTAGCCCTCTACTGACATGACCAGCTTCTCGCTGCTCCATCGCTATTTCCCCGAAAAGTGATGAAACGTACGACATTTCTTGGTTTTCCTCCTAATTTTTTCTCTGTATATCATTGCTTGAACCGGCTTTTAATGCTCTGGAGTGAGCAGCTTGGGGTTAGTAGCCGTAGCTTGGAAAGACACAATCCTATGGGTAAAAGAGAAACTCTGAATTTGTCATCGAGCGGCGCTATATCAAGTCTAATTCGTTACCACTTCGTCACCGAGAACCATTGGCACATTTGCTATGGCGTTTGCCTCCTATCGTGACTGTTCTGGTTTCAATTCTCGGTAGTGGATGCGCACTGCTGATGATGTCCCAAATATAGGACGAAACGTCCGTCCAGTGCATTCTGCATTCTGTTGAGGTTTCTTCCAGACACGATGAATTACTTAATTATGATATATATGTTTATATATACAGATAATGACTTAATGTTGAAATGTTCGTGAAACCATCCACACGGGAGTCTGTTTCATAAAGAAGTGTTTTTTGGGGACTAGCTGTCTGAGTGGAACTTATGTTTTACCAATGGAATACGGGAGCTATGACGGTGATTCAACTCTATAAACGTAACAAGCTGTAAAGGTTTTAATTTCAGGCACTAAATAATTTTTTGAAAATTATAATGTTCACCCAATACATGATGAAAGAGTCTCTCAAGGTAGAGGGTTAATGTGTAGTGATGTATAAGCATACGAAAAGTCATGAAGTGAAGTTTATGGGTTTGTGCAAGTTAACCCTAGTCTTGAGGTCAAGGGTTAGGGTTAGTAGTGATTGGAACATCATTCTATCGGATGTCCGTTTCACAAAGCAGCAGTTCCTAGTAATTATCTGTTCGAATTGAATTTGCTTTTTACTAGAGGAATATGAAAGGAATGGGGATGATTCATACTTGTGTGCGAGGCATGGAGGGTCCTAGCTGAAAGGTGAGCAGTAATGGAACTAAGGAATCTAGCTCGTCAGAACACATGCCTTGGTAGTAGTTATAGAGCAGCGAGAGGCTCGCATCTTTAGTTCTGTGAAGAAGGGGTATGAAGTTTGTCTAAACAATTGTAAATTAGCGATAGGGTGGCGATAAGCTTTCGACGTTTGCGTCTGTAGGTAAAAGAAGCTGCTTCGTGGGAAACAATCACCTACAAGACTTTGTTTGGGAGGATTTAGAACTCTGTCATTGTTGGAGTAAGGCTTGGAAAAACTCCAGCTCAGTTAGGGCACAAATATTCCTTTTTTTTTTTCTTGAATCTGTAAAGACAGATCGAGGCAGAAAGAGATGAGGACTTTCTCGAAAAGTACAAAGAACCAGACGTTCTTCTACCATCTTTAGCGATGGGTTGCCTATATTAATACAATTCGAGATCTATATGGAACTTAAGCCCAAAAAGACATGCAAAGCAAGGATAATCTTTGGAAGTACAACCTTTCATCATATCTGCAAAAAATTTAAGATCTGCTCAGTGATGTCGAAAAGATACGAGAAACTATTCAAGAGTTATTAACTCAACTTCAGTTTGGCATTTTATCTACTTTTAAATTATATGAGGAAAATATTACTGCCTTGTCGCATTATTACAATGTCCGGATAAAAGGGGTTATATTTAGATTAAAATAAAAGAACTGAAATTAGATTAAACATTTATTTTCAATGTCTTATAATAAACAAAATAAGCTAATGGTGAGTGAAATATAACGGAATTTATTTTAAGGAAAAAAAATTATGTAATGTTAATGATAGTTCATTAAATTCAATAAGCCACATATGCAAAACACATAATGTAAGGAAGATGTTTTAATCGCTGTTGCATGATGATTCTTTCTCTACTAATGCCATTCCCAACTTTTTCTGCATTTCGTTTTGCTTTTGTTCTGGAAATTTTTTCAAACGGAAGAAACTTTTTAACTCTACGTGCGTCATTGCAATCGTCATAGCTGAATGCTGGCTTTCTTTCCATAAAACTGACAACTTTTTCAATAGCTTTTTGAATTTCAGCCCAGGTTTCATCACAATCAGGCATCTCGTGTGTCTCGTTGTCATCTTTTCCTCTTATTCCCATCATCCTTTGCACCAATACAAGCCATTAGGTTCAAATAAGCATAAACAATTATCCAAAATAAATTTCCTGATAAACAGAATTTCAAATCAATTACATAATCCCTAAATAGTTCAAATAAAAAACATCAAAATCATATCCGGATATCCGGGATTCCGGATATCAGACATTTTAGATATGAGGGATTTTACTATATCTGAACAGTGTTATAGATACAGCGAAAATGAATGTCTGAAACGGAGCAATGAATTAAGAAAAAGCGAAATAGCTTTAGAAATAAAGAAAAGCGTGTTGAACTGCTATATCAGCGCTGGCCTGTTCGAATACAGAGCTAGCGAGCCTAGTTTTTACAGATTTTAGTAAATGACCGCTGACCCTGCAAAAACGTTAATCTGCTCTTTGCTAGGCCTGCTTGGTGCTTTAGCTTACCATATGTTCTGTGTTTGTCCTGGTTTCCCGATCGTTATTTCAGCTATGAGCATTTGATAATGCAAAGTCGTGAAGGCACTTCATTAACCAACAATCGAACACTAGCTGAGAGCAGTTTTTCTCAACAGGTATTCACCGGGACCACAGGTAATAATAATACGCGTCGAATCGGAAGAATATTTTGCATTTTTTTTTGGTTTGGTATGGTTTGTTTTCTTTTACGGCATATCAACCTCAATGGGTCATTTAAAGCCGACAACTTTTTTCTTTTTTTTTTCCTGGCAATATTTTTTTTTTGTCAAAAATTTTTTTTCTTCGAAAAGGTATAGCTGGTAATATTTTTAAAAATGTATTACTGGTAATTTTTTTCCCCAAAAACTTATTGCTGGTAATAGTTTCTTTGTTTTTTTTTTCTTAAAATAATTTTTTACAAAGTACTTCTGGTATTAATACGTATTTTTACACTTTTATAATGCATTTTACCTCAGTCTCCGAGGTAACTATTTACACATAGCTGGGACGCTAACAGGTGCTACCACCCTGGGTCAGGCTGGACCTGGGAAAACCAGCAATTAAGAGATTGTTCCACGCTCCTCAAAACCTCCTGATCAGAAGCCTTGCTGTTGGATGTATTTTATCGTCTTACCCTGGACGCGGATATAGTTTATCGTCTTACCCAGGACGGGCGTTTTTATGTACCTAAAATATTCTATATATATATCTACCATGTAGGAAAAATATTGTTATAAAGGTTGTTTCATTAAGACGGATTATATATAAGGGTGTTTTATTAAGAAGTATTAAAGTTAGCAGTAAATAAATGAGTTTTATTGGTGAAAATTTATTTCTCTATTGGATCATGTTATTTAAGTCATAGCAATTATGCGTGAAAATTAATATCGATCAAATGTCCGCCAAGGCTTTGGAGGCACACCTCCAATCGATGGTCAAAAATTTGATGACGTCTCTGCATAGTTGCTCCTCGATCTCACCAATATGCCTTATTATCTCATCCTTCAGTTGTTGAATTGTTGTTGGCTTGTCGGCATAGACTATACTTTTGAGATGACCCCAAGGAAGAAATCTAAAGGCGTTAAGTCGCACGATCGTGGTGGCCAATTGACTTCGCTGCTTCGAGAGATGATGTGATCTGGGAACTTCTCATTGCATTTCTATCTGAACGTTCATTTTCGTAATAAGCTTCGATAACTTTAACACGTTGTTTGATTGTTAACCTTTCCATAGTTGAAATTTCCGCAGACTTAAGTTTTTAAATGTGAAGAAAAAAAAAATCATTAGACGCTTAAATTGAATTCACATTTAAAACCGGTCCAAGTTATTGGAACACCTTTTATAACAGTTCAGTTTTTTTTTTTATTTATTTCTATTTTCTTAATATTTTGCTTAGATTTTGGAAGGCATTTTTCCTTATCCTAATGCGCCTAAGGATTTCGCTGTCGGATTTTCCGTCCTTTGTTAAAACATTTCCTAGCTGTTTATTGTTAGAAAGGGTGTTTCATTAAGACGGATAGCAGTAAATAAATCAGTGTTATTGATGAAAATTTATTTATCTATTAGATCATGTTATTTAAGTCATGGCAAATATGTGCGACAAATAATATCGCTCAAATGCCCGCCAAAATCTGAAAGAAAAAGAAAAAAAATCATTTGACGCTTAAATTTAATTCCTATTTAAAATCGGTCCACCTTTTATAACAATTCAGTTTTGTTTTATTTAATTCTATTTTCTTAATATTTTGCTTAGCTTTTAGAAGACATCTTCCTTTATCCCAATGCGTTTACGGATTTCGCTGTCCCATTTTCCGTCCTCAGTTAAAATATTTCCTGGATGTTTAGATTTTTTGATCTTTTTTTTTACCTGGGATAAGTTTACCGATTAAATCCTTATTACAACGAGATACGTACATAAGAAAATCATTAAAGTTTTTGGTTCACATCTTTTCTTCTTTATTGTCGCCGTCTGATATTTTTATAGTGTTTATAATTTCTTTGCTGTAGTTTTATTTCTTCTATCGCGAACGAAAACAACGCCGAACGATCAAATGGACACTTTTTTCCCCCCTCATCGCCATTTTCATCTTATTCGCGCCACGTCAACAACGTTTACGGCGATTCGTGAGAACTCCAGATGATTTTGCCATCAACCAAATTTGCGGTACTCTTGGTGTAGGCCTGTTTAGAGCATCAGTCGGGTACTGTTTCCCGTGCATGTTTTGTGTGTAAGCCGCTGAACTAAAAAAGAAGAAAGAAAGAAAAAAAAACGCAACAAAAAGAAAAAAAAAAGTGACAATAAAAGAAAAGATACAAACAAATTCCACAGATGAAGCTTATAAAAATACAAGTAAACGATTTTTCTATTTTTTTCTTTGTAACGTCTGCGACATTTTCATATGGATATATTATCTCACTAACTCTGTTGACGCCATGTGGCAGTGGATTTTGCAAATGAAAATGCTGGATTACTTCAAGATATTTTTGAAACCGTGTGTGTGTGTTTGAGTATGAAAAGATTGTAATTTGAAAACATTATTTAAAAATGAGAAAATTAAGAACTTAAAATAGGCCGCCATTTTTAGTATGGCACATTAAATAATATAACAGTACATCTAGAAATCAAAAGCTTGACGTGTTTTTCTATAGTTATGAAGTAATCCCAAGTATAAGGTTTACTACCTACACATAAAGACTCATATATAATAACACTTCTACCAATAGTAAGTACTAAATAAAATATAACGTCTTTTTATTATGGTACGTTAAACTAGTAATAATATAAGAGTACATCTGGAAATCAAAAGCCAGGCGCGTTTTTATAGTTATTAAGTGATAAACTAATCGCAAGTATAAGGTTTACTACCTACACATAAAGACTTATATATATATATATATATATATATATATATATATATATATGAAGAAAAATATACGGAAAAAAGAAACAAAAATCCTAATATGCAATTATGCTGTTTTAATGTTAATATAATGTCAACGTCGGACGTTTCGGTCTAATAAACCATCTTCAGGACATATTCAAAAAACATAATTAACATTAGACTATATTTAATTCAACATGAAAAGACGATGGACATAAGAGTAAAACTAATCAAAAGAGAGAACTGAAATTTTTCAAGATCAGCGTTCCGTTTCAATATGATCACGTCATTATTATGTTTTATGAATGTGTCCTGAAGATGGTCTACTAGACCGAAACGTCCGACGTTAAAATTATATTAACATAAAAACAGCATAATTGCATATTAGGATTTTTGTTTGTTTTTCCGTATATTTTTCTTCATACTGTCGGATCTATATCCATATATTTGCTTATATATATATATATATATATATATATATATATATATATATATATATATATATATATATATATAGATAATGAACTCTCACGTCCGTTTCGACGTATGAGGATCTGACAGCTTAAATGATTCATTTATGAAATTTTGTGCGATAATCTCAAGTGGCACTTAAGACCCACTAGTGATTTACAAAAGGAGACCACATATGCGTAAGAGTGAGTATTGTGAGATGAGATCACTGTTAGATTGGCGGACCTTTTAGATCTTGCTCTCTCTTATTGAAGATGATTCAGACAAGCAGACTGAAAACTGCTGAGTCCACTAAAACACGTTGAACTCCATTCTACCCGCTCCAAGGCTAAGCGATCAAAGGTGCTATGTGGTATATTGACAGCTGACAAGTTCATATATATATATATAAAATACATATATATATATATATATATATATATATATATATATATATATATATATGACACTTCTACCAATAGTAAGGACTAAATAAAATTTGACGTCATATTAGCGATGAGGGTTAACTTTTTTCTTTTTTTAAGTGAGCTTCATACGGTACAAGACCCGGGAGACACTGGAGGTAGAGTGTTACAGATTAAAAGGCACCGTTTATGTAGATAGGTGGGGAAGATAATGGTTAACCCACGACTTGAACAGGTTAAGATTATACTGATCGGGAAAGCATTCTCTTGGGAGTCTGTTCCACAGAGAATTAGCTCACGGAAAGAAGCTGTTCGAGTGAAAACTATATCACACTATATAATTTCAAGAAACTGGATGAGGTCATGTAAGTCAAAACTGACCGAAGAGATCAAAGAAAAAGATGCAAATTAATGGGTCCAGTCACATGAATGTGGAGTCTTATCAAATTGTAAATCATTGTAATTGCTGAAAATGTTTGATATAATATATGTATTACTAAAGCATCTATCTATCTATCTATCTAGCTATGCCTCTTCCTTTTCTTTCCTTCTTTCTTTCTTTCTTTCTTTCTTTCTATCTATCTATTTCAGCGTTTTCTTTATCTATCTATCTATCTATCTATCTATCTATTTCAGCGTTTTCCTTATCTATCTATCTATCTATCTATCTATCTATCTATCTATCTATCTCTGCATCTTCCTTTTCTTTCTTTCTTTCTTTCTTTCTTTCTATTTCAGCATTTTCCTTTTCTATCTATCTATCTATCTATCTATCTATCTATCTATCTATGTCTCTTCCTTTTCTTTCTTTTCTCCTTTCTTTCTTTCTTTCTTTCTTTCTTTCTTTCTATTTCAGCGTTTTCCTTATCTATCTATCTATCTATCTATCTATCTATCTATCGATCTATTTTCCTTTTCTTTCTTTCTTTCTTTCTTTCTTTCTATTTCAGCATTTTCCTTATCTATCTATCTATCTATCTATCTATCTATCTATCTATCTATCTATGCCTCTTTCTTTCTTTCCTATCTATCTATCTATCTATCTATCTATCTATCTATCTATCTCAGTCTGTTCATATCATTTTTCTTTTCATCTTTTAAATCAGAATCATTCCAAGCAAGATAGTAATACCATTAAAACACAAGGGCTTACAAGGTGTGGAAGAAATTAGGAACAGAAACATTAATGATGAGCACAGAGAGAAGAGAGTAATCAAGACGACAGTAGAGAGCGATTGACATTACATTAAACATTTTTTTGCTGATGAAAGATGACTGGAAAGAATGGAGCCGGAAAGAAGTTCCACAAGCAAGAAGTCTGAGAGAAGAAACTGTAAGCATAGAACTTACGGCTGCATCTAGCCAGCTTAATTGTGAATTAATGTGATCTCAACACCAGTCTAGTGTTGCGCTTTAATTTAAAAAAATAAATAAATAAAAAATTCTGGGTAACATAGCGAAGAGTTCATTCGAACAATTAGCATGAAAATATTTGAAGCAGCCTTATGGCTGTGAGAAAGAGACTGAAGCCGAGCCACCAGATCAGGACCAATAATATTGCAGAATTTTCTTTGAATCTTATTAAGGAGCTCAAGTTAAATGGCAGGGGCACCGGACCATATGTGGCAGCGATATTTAAAGCATGGACGAATGGTAGACTTATAGATATGTAAGATAGATTCTGGTGAGAAATATAGTGAACCAATTTTCTTATCAGCTGATTTAGCAATGGATTAAATATAGTCTTTCCACTTCAAATCAGCAGAGAACGTGAGTCCGAGAAGGCGCAATGGGTTACTGGAGGTTAGTATCAGCCATGCTGATGGAAGGCAGCACTGAGTCTTTCAGCAGATTAATGGAGAAGTTTAGTTTTGGAGGCATTAAAATTAATCAGCCAACTTCTGCCTTATCTATCTATTTATCTATCTATCTATCCATCCCAGTTTTTCCATATCTATCTATCTATCTATCTATTATGGAGTGGTTTCACAGTGGAGGCTTGTATTTGTAATAAGTCGGTCCTAAAATAGGTTCGACGTACAAAACGTTAGGAAGTTGATATAATAGGTAATGACGCAGAGAAATCTAGTTGTGGTCGCTGATACTTTAGTATCCGACTAACGGTCGTCCGGCATCGACTTCAGTCACCCCCCCACCCCACTGGGGCAGCATGTGACACAAGGTCGATTATTTATTGTGGGTTCTCCGAGAAAAATATGCCCATTGAACCCGTATAAACGGGCTCAGGGCCGGTTTACCTCCCCGAAAGAGACTCCGCCCCTCGGCGTAGCCTCGTTCGGGTTCCTCCCCGCCCGAAGGCAGAGAGTTCCACCGTTCATCAACTGACTGACCGATCCACAGAGCGACTCCGACTTATTATAGGTGGGAGAGCCTATTAACTATAGAATAGGTGTGTTCCACTATCTATCTATCTATCTATCTATCTATCTATCTATCTATCTATATGTATATTTGTCTCTCAGTCTGTTCATATCTATCTCTCTCTCTATATATATATATATATGTGTGTGTGTGTTTGTGTCTCAGTCTGTTCATATCTATCTATCTATCTATCTATCTGTCTCAGTCTGTTCATACGAGGATTTGGCTGAATATTTAAAATGCTGAAGAAGATACATACATGGAATGTGACCAAATGAGGTTTATTTTCCAACATAACTCACCTTGCGCTTCACTCACTTCTTTCCTATGGTGAGAAAGCTTTCATACTGTTGGTCAAAAATGTCTTCAAAAGAAAATATGACGTCATAATCACTGCGACACTGATTCACAGCCAAGTAATTCTTTTTATGTTGGTGAACTGATGATAGTCATATGGGGAAAAATAAGGAGACTAGCGCAGTATCACGCATAGTGGTCATTGTAACAAAGGACTTGTGCTGGAGCATTGTCTCGACGAGACAAGTTCTTCTGCGTGAGTTTCCTGGACGTTTCCTCTTGATATCCTTTTGAAACTGCCTCAGTAAGTTAGCATAGCTCTCTCTATGGATAGTGTGGCCCTTCTGAAGATAGTTTATAAACACTATCCGTTTGCATCTCAAAATGAGGCCACCGTGTTCCCTGCAGAGGAAACGAGACTTCGGTTGTGTTAGGTGAAGAGGGGAGTTTCCACTGCATGGTTTGTGTCTTTGTCTCTGGTTCAAAAAGATGAACCCAACACTCTTCCTGGGTTAGGAAACATTCAAGGAAACCAGCTGGATCTACCTCAACCAATGTTAGATTTTACCGTCATGAGATCAGCCTAGTGAGCATTTGATCAGGTGTAAGACGACGTGGCACGCACTGAGCACAAACCATCGTCATAACAAGTTAATTGTGCAGCGTGTTCACTCACACAGAATAGTCTAACAACATTGGCTATTTGATTCATAGTCAGTCGCCCGATATTCGTCATGACGTGAACACTGTCGATGTTTTCCTCGCTGTTGGCTGTTGTAGGACGTCCAGACCCCGGGCCATCTTCAGGATTCACCCTTCCACTTCTAGATTCCTCTGCCAACGTTTGCACTACTGATAAAGTCGGAGCCTCATCACCTAATGTAGCTACGATATCAACATGAAAGTCTTTGGCGGTTAAATATTTTTTAGCATGTATTGATGTCAGATTCGCTAGAAAGAAAAAAAATGCAGTTATTAATATGAAGAGTTGAAATTAATACATTGAGGATTTCACTTTTCAGACCAACCTCGTATCTATCTAGCTAGCTCAGCCTGTTTAAACCAAAATAGTAATCTATCTATCTATCTATCTATCTATCTATCTATCTATCTCAGCGTGTTTGTTTATAGGCACCCACATAATCTATCTATCTAGAATGTTCATCATTTGTCAGCTTGCTTAATTGTCCCATTAGAATTTAGACATGCACAGTTTCATGCATAGTCGAAATAAATCCTTGTCCTGTTTTTATGCACACACACACACACACATACCAGCACGTGCACACACACTTACACAAAGAGACGATATATATATATATATATATATATATATATATATATATATATATATATATGGTTATGTGTTGTTTGTAAAAGTTATCATGAATATCTTATTTTGTTTATATATTTATACACATAAATATCCGCCCAATTATATCGTCTGCTGTTCCCTTCTATCATTTTCATTTCAGATTATTCCTATGAATCTACCTATTTCTTTCGATGAATATCTCACTTTATCTATCTATCTATCTATCTATCTTAGTCTGTTCATAATACTTCTTTCTTTCTTTCTTTATTTCTATCTATGTATCTTAGTTTCATCATATACTTCAATCTATCTATCGATCTATCTATCTATCTTAGTCTCTTCGTAATACTTCTTTCTTTATTTCTATCTATGTATCTTAGTTTCTTCATATACTTCAAGCTATCTATCTATCTATCTATCTATCTATCTATCTATCTATCTATCTATCTTAGTCTCTTCATATACTTCTTTCTTTCTTTATTTCTATCTATCGAACTTAGTTTCTTCATATACTTCTATTTATCTATCTTAATTTCGTCATATCTATCTATCAATCTATCTATCTATCTATCTATCTTAGTCTCTTCATATAATTTTATCTATCTATCTATCTATCTATCTATCTATCTATCTAAGTCTGCAGGAATCTATCTATCTATCTATCTATCTAACTTAGTTTCTTCATATACTTCTATTTATCTATCTTAATTTCGTCATATCTATCTATCTATCTTAGTCTCTTCATATATTTTTATCTATCTATCTATCTATCTATCTATCTATCTATCTATCTTAGTCTATTCATATATTTTTATCTATCTATCTTAGTCACTTCATATATTTTTTATCTATCTATCTATCTATCTATCTATCTATCTATCTATCTTAGTCTCTTCATATATTTTTTTCTATCTATCTATCTATCTATCTATCTATCTATCTATCTTAGTCTCTTCATATATTTTTATCTATCTATCTATCTATCTATCTATCTATCTATCTATCTATCCCACCAATTTCTCATCTACCCCGTATATATGCATGAAACATGGTTGATAATACAACGTTCGTATTTACATATATTTATCTTTGGAAAGACTTTTCTCCTATTTGGTTATGCATCTTTTGTATAGACGTTCGCCCACAGGAGATCGTTGCGCATGCGTGCAAACGAGTCACCCTTGGAATCTGACGAATGACAATGAAGTTAACGTCATCTGTTGTAAAGGTTAATTAATTACAGACACAGGGCGAGCAAAACAGCAAAAGAGGACACAGATGCAAGTCATCATGCTCGTGCTTGCAGAAATACAAAAGAATCAAAGAGAACGTTTTGATTTCAAATGTTTGCCGAATATCTCTGGCAGTTAACATACAAACGGTGTCCATAAATGCAGGTTTCGCTGAGATCATTGGTTATTTTTCCAGGAGAGAACAAGAAATTAATTCTAGAACAAAGAAAACTTGGCAAGGATTGCAAATAAATTTTTCTCAAATCAGTGACTATGGTAGAAACACATTTTGAAAAGGATTATTAACACTTTCGAATTGGGTTTACGGTTCCTATAAAAGTCTATATAAACACTATAAATCTGCTGTAGTAGATAGGTCATCGTATCACCGAGTTCGCATCCTTCAGCGACCTTTTGAACAGGATTAGAAATTTATCTATTGTTTCCTCTTTCGGATTGGATTTCCGCTTCCTACTAACGTTTACGTCAACTCTATACCTCTGCCTTAGTAGAGAAGTTTTCGCTGTGCGCATTCTTCAGAGATCATTTGAAAGGGATTCAAGGTTTATCCATTGGTTACTCTTTCGGATTGGGTTTCCGTTTCCTACTAGCGTAAACATGAAATCTGTACATCTTCCTTTCTAGATAGGTTCTCCTATCGACCAGTTCGCCTTTTTCAGCGACCTTTTTTTATAGGATTCGAGTTTTATTCATTGTTTCTTATTTCGGAATGGGTTTCCGCTTCCTACTAACGTCTACATCAACTTGCAATCTCCATTGACCATTTTAACAGGATTCGAGGATTATCCATTGTATCCTCTTTCGGATTGATTTTTCGCTTCCTACTAACGTCTCCATCACCTCTGTACCTCTCCCTTAGTAGAGAGGTTCTCCTATCGACCAGTTCGCCTTTTTCAGCGACCTTTTGTATAGGATTCGAGTTTTATTCATTGTTTCTTATTTAGGATTGGGTTTCCGCTTTCTACTAACTTAAACATGAATTCTGTACATCTGCCATTCTAGATAGGTTCTCATATCGCCATGTTCGCCTTTTTCAGCGACCTTTTTTTATAGGATTCAAGTTTTATTCATTGTTTCCTATTTCGGATTGGGTTTCCGCTTCCTACTAACGGCTACATCAACTCTGTAACTTTTCCTTTGTTGATAGGTCCACCTATCGCCCGGTGCGCATTCTTCAGAGACCTTTTGAACAGGATTAGAATTTATTCATTGTTTCATATTTCGGAATGGGTTTCCGCTTTCTACTATCTTCTACATCAAATCTGTACCTCTCCATTTGTAGATAGGGTCTCGTATCTCCCAGTTCGCTTTCTTCAGAGACCTTTTGAACAGGATTCGAGTTTTATGCATTGTTTTCTCTTTCGGATTAGGTTTCCGCTTCCTACTAACCTAAACTGAAATCTGTATATCTTCCTTTCTAGATAGGTTCTCATATCGCCCAGTTCGCCTTTTTCAGCGACCTTTTTTATAGGATTCAAGTTTTATTCATTGTTTCCTATTTCGGATTGGATTTCCGCTTCCTGCTAACGTCTACATCAACTTTGTACATCTGCAATTCTAGAGAGGTTCTCGTATCGCCCAGTTTGCAATCTCCATTGACCATTTGAACCGGATTCGAGGTTTATCCATTGTTTCCTCCTTCGGATTCGGTTTCCGCTTCCTACTAACGGCTACATAAACTCTGTATCCCTCCCTTAGTTCGTGATTGATGTTGCATTTAAATTTTTGATACTCGACTGGATTTTAATCAGGATTGTTTTCTTAGGCAGAAAAGAGCATTTAGTAGGGTGTTCTGCAAGTTGGACGTGCGAAAAAAAAAAACTTTTTGAGTAGAAGTGTCGGCTGCCTTTTTGCTAGTTCACCTGTAAAACATCGAGGCCTAATTGTCAATCCAGTAGCAAGATTAACTTTTAATCTGGACATCCGGATACAAAAGCTCATCGGATCAGTTGACATGAAAATATTTGTAGAATAGAAAGTATGAATCCTCGTTACGTCAGTGAGAAAGTGACTAAAGATGAGATGCTTGGTTATTGTTGATTACAGGCCTTTCTTTGGATTTCGTCAAGAAACTCGAGATATAGAGCCACGCCACCAGACCAGATATGACAACATTATTCAATACAAGATGGTATCTGACGAGGAAAAATATATTTCTGACACGTCACAATGACGCAGCATTCCTTGCACTAGACGTTGCAATTGATTCGATGTACTTGCTCCAGTTCATGTCAATGAAAAAGGTGAGGTCAAGATGACGTAGAGTTTTGTTCACCTAGAGTTCAGCATCAGCCCTCCTGATTGGAGGCAGAAAAGAGCATAAAAATGAATGAAAGTTTATATACACTCTTGTACAAATTAATTGAACCAAAACGAATAATTCCGTTATTTACTGTTTTCGTATTTTTCCAATGAATCATGACCCAGTGCCATGTTAGTACTTCGTATGTCCATTCTACGAAGTCTTTCCTTGAAGATTGACGCCAGATTCTCGATTGGATTTAAATCAGGAGAGTTTTTAGGCCAGTCTATCTATCTCAGCCTGCTCATATCTATCTATCTATCTATCTATCTATCTATCTATCTATCTATCTATCTATCTATCTATCTACACCCTTGTACAAATTAATTGAAACAAAACGAATAATTCTGTTATTATTTACTTTTTAAAGTATTTTTTCCAATTAAACCTTGACGCAGTGTACATGTTAGTGAATTCGTATGTCCATTTTCGAAGTCGTTCCTTGCAGATTGGCCACAGATACTCGACTGGATTTTAATCAGGATTGTTTCCGAGCTAGTCGATAGGACATTGATTTGCTCACTAGTAAGGCTTGCCATGGTAATCGTGCAACGTGACAATTTTCGTAGGTCTCCTCGGGGTCACGTCCGTCGCAGACAATGACCTTAGGACAACTAACGGACAGTCGAGACAATAGTGTCTGGGCGTGAGGAAACTATGATGAAATAACGGATGACGCAATATTTATCAAGAGAAAACAAATTTCATCATACACCCCGGAAATAGATTCATATTACTGCATACCACTGCAAATGGCCTAATCTGAAGAAAAATAGAAATAGATTTCACGCTGTCACTCCAGTGGGTCTAAAACTGACCATAAGTTTAAAAGAAAAGAAGAAAGCGTTTGTTTCAATTAATTTTCAAATGGAGGTATATATTATCAAGAACCAATGATATGTCGGTGTGGTAATTCGAATTCTTTTGTCTACAGTCTTATATTCTTTGGGAAGCTGCATATTAATTATAACATATGCACTTCAAGATGCCGTCGACTGCGTTGAATCATTGTTTTTTTTTTTTTTTTTTTTACACATGACGATACGCTAGATTATTTCTCACTTCCAGCTTCCCAAATAATACGAGGAGGAAGACTGTTGTGATACCGGGATAAAAACAGGTACCAAAAATAACAAAAACCAAGAATGAATATAGGAAAATAATGTATTAACGTAATAATACAAACTGGTAATGCAGGTTAGTAGTTCCAGGAATACGGGTTAGTAGCAAAAAATATCTATACAGTCTTTGGCATTGAAGTATCGCTGCATGTCTTCTTACTGAGT